TTATTCTCACTTCATCTCTATTTTGACTCTTACTAGTCACTATTAAAATAATTGCTATAGGAATAGAGAACATGAATAGACCTAATATAAATGCCCCTATCAGCAGGGACTACAGAATGTGTATATAACTTAATTTGATTTTGGTCAACCTCTTTCCTCCAATCACCCACATGGATGAAACAGCTTTCCTAAAAACTGAGGAGGAAACAAATGCCATCATGCTGTAGAAGGCTTTTAGAAATGTTAGAAGTGCTTTTATTACCAGAAGCTCAATTATACCAATTAGTTTGCAATCAATTAGTTTTCAATCATTCAGACTCTAGTCTATATATAACGTGTGTCTATCTGACACTATTTGCCACTTCTTGCTATTATTCAAACACTTCCACTGTTCTCACTGAAACATGTTTAATTATCTTTAAAACTTGTATATTCTAACCTACTCCATGTGTTTCCACATCCTCTTTATTTCCTGGCAGGAACTTCATTTTCCTCTGGTTATACTGCTTCCATGAAGTTCACTGTAGATCTCTCATTTCTTGCATTTGTTTTTAATCCATTCCACATTCCACAGGAGTTATACTTGCCACAGTTACCATCCTTGTTTATTCTGCCATTTCCAGACCATTTCTCTCTTACATCCCTCAAATACCACAGCTCTTTTGAAGCACATGCCATCATATTTTACCCACACAATTTTGTAGTTTTAAACATTTATAAAACGTCCAGTAAGTTCTAATTCTTTGAAAATTTTATCACTGGGATCAGTCTTTATCTCTTTTAATATTGCTGTCACCATTACATAAAGAGTCCTGTAAATTGGCTCCTATTTTATCTCACTTACAGGACCATGAAGTCACCCACTGTAGTGAGTTAATATCATTATCAGCAACTAATGTCCACAGTCTTCCTGTTAATCATTCCTCACCTCCACTTCTTATCCTTTCAAGCTGCTGCTGAATCTATTATCACCTCTTCAGAATTTCCTGTCTCATAAAGACAGCAGTTCTTTGACTACATAACCCACATTTTGCTACCCATCACTCTCACTTTATGTCCTCAATTTCTCCTCATTTTCTTCTGTCCCCATGCACAAATTCCATAGTCCATCACTTGTCAGCCAGGGTTCAACAAGATAAACAGAACTAGTAGAATACATAAATATGTATGTATGTATGTATGTATGTATGTATGTATGTATGTATGTATGTATGTATGTATGTATGTATGTATGTATGTATGTATGTATGTATGTATGTATGTATGTATGTATGTATGTATGTATGTATGTATGTATGTATGTATGTATGTATGTATGTATGTATGTATGTATGTATGTATGTATGTATGTATGTATGTATGTATGTATGTATGTATGTATGTATGTATGTATGTATGTATGTATGTATGTATGTATGTATGTATGTATGTATGTATGTATGTATGTATGTATGTATGTATGTATGTATGTATGTATGTATGTATGTATGTATGTATGTATGTATGAATGTACATGCAAATAAATACACACACAGTTATCATTTCTATTGTGATTTATTTTTAATTTTATCCTGGGGTCCTTATCCTGAGACCAGCCATAAATTTTATCCTTGCCTTGACCAGAAATTCAAGGAATTTGGTTACAAATGTTTACAGGGTGCCATTCACAGGGTACTTTATCCTGGCAGATGACCTAATGCCTAAAATGTCTGACCTGTGACTAAGTGTGACTCTTTCAGAAATCTTGTTTATACTGGAAAACACCCTTATGGCTCTTGCCTGAACTATGTCCAGTTTATTCCTACTAAGATAACTATCATCTAAGAGAAAGCCCAGACCAGAATAAAAGCTTAGGTTCAAGTGCATGTGTATTAGGTGAGACACAATGAGCAAGTAAAATCAAGGTGCATGAAACAGAAGAAATGTATTACTTACATGTCCCATAAAGGTTAGGAATGTTGATGGGAAGTCCAGAAGCATCTGGGAGCTCAACTAGCTGATGGGGAGAGAGAGACAGAGGATTTGTGAGACTGCCTCTATTAAAGTCCAGGGGCATTATTCCTCAAACTTTCCCACAGGAGTTTTAAATGGGCTAGTTTAAGGAAAACTTGTGCACAAAGGGAAAAGTTACTTACATGATTCTGGAATTGACCATTAGGTTTCATCATGGTCAGCAGCTGTTGAGTATGTTAGGTTGTAGGTCAGTAAGATGAGAAAGAAGTGTGATATTGTCGGGCCTCCCTGAGCCAGAGGCCGACAAAACCGAGCGGGAAGAGACCCCGGTCC